ATAAAATATCACTGTAACATTGTACCCTATAAAATATCACTGTAACATTATACCCTATAAAATATCACTAACATTATACCCTATAAAATATCACTGTAACATTATACCCTATCACTGTAACATTATACCCTATAAAATATCACTGTAACATTATACCCTATCACTGTAACATTATACCCTATAAAATATCATTGTAACATTATACCCTATGAAATATCACTGTAACATTGTACCCTATAAAATATCATTGTAACATTATACACTATGAAATATCACTGTAACATTATACCCTATGAAATATCACTGTAACATTATACCCTATAAAATATCACTGTAACATTATACACTATGAAATATCACTGTAACATTATACCCTATGAAATATCACTGTAACATTATACCCTATAAAATATCACTGTAACATTATACACTATGAAATATCACTAACATTATACCCTATGAAATATCACTGTAACATTATACCCTATGAAATATCACTGTAACATTATACCCTATAAAATATCACTGAAACATTATACCCTATAAAATATCACTGTAACATTATACCCTATAAAATATCACTGTAACATTATACCCTATCACTGTAACATTATACCCTATAAAATATCATTGTAACATTATACCCTATGAAATATCACTGTAACATTGTACCCTATAAAATATCATTGTAACATTATACACTATGAAATATCACTGTAACATTATACCCTATGAAATATCACTGTAACATTATACCCTATAAAATATCACTGTAACATTATACACTATAAAATATCACTGTAACATTATACCCTATAAAATATCACTGTAACATTATACCCTATAAAATATCACTGTAACATTATACCCTATAAAATATCACTAACATTATACCCTATAAAATATCACTAACATTATACCCTATAAAATATCACTGTAACATTATACCCTATAAAATATCACTGTAACATTGTACCCTATAAAATATCACTGTAACATTATACCCTATAAAATATCACTGTGACATTATACCCTATGAAATATCACTGTAACATTATACCCTATAAAATATCACTGTAACATTATACCCTATAAAATATCACTGTAATATTATACCCTATAAAATATCACTGTAACATTGTACCCTATAAAATATCACTGTAACATTATACCCTATAAAATATCACTGTAACATTATACCCTATAAAATATCACTGTGACATTATACCCTATAAAATATCACTGTATCATTATACCCTATAAAATATCACTGTAACATTATACCCTATAATATATCACTGTAACATTGTACCCTATAAAATATCACTGTAACATTATACCCTATAAAATACTCATTTCAAAATCAATTCTGTCATTTTATTTCAGCCATATTTTCGACTTGACTCTCTAGTTTAACAACTCTATGATTAACAGAATTAATGTGAATAAAAATTGGTACAAGCAAGACAATTCCCTTTATCAATATCTCGTCTACAGAACAGCAAAATCAAGAGTACAAATTGTATAGTAGTGGACTCCTCCAAAGAGAAGTATCATCAAGTGTTTAGAAAAGAGTAAGCATGGTCTGCTTCAATGCGACAACCACTATTACTATATAGGTCAATGTTTCTTTCTTTAGCTGAGCAAATCTTTGAAACCTGGGGCCCTTAATTTTAAAATCCTAACTCAAGATGATTATTAGTGTTCTGATAAATTGATTTTTACTGTATTTCTCAAAATCTGGATTTTTATCTTAGTTTATTTTTTTGAAAAAAGGTCCCTGTCTATCAAATAGTAAATGAATCGAACATTACCAAATTCTTTGGTGAAAATAAGAAAAAAATTCAACCTGAAAGTGGTAAATTTGTGACTGGGCCTTTACTGTTACTTTCTGAGTTCTTCTTCATGCTGTGAATAGTCCAGGGTCTGTCATAGGGATCTACTTTCTATAAAATATAAAATAATAACTCATGTATCTTTCTACAATACATTGTTAACATTAGAGTCATCAGTGACCTATTCAACTAGATCAAAGTAGCAAGACCAGCATACCAAATCATAAATTATAGATAAATATAGACATTAGGTTATGTTTTAATATTTAATAAGTATTTTAAAACACTCTGAGGTCAATCAAAAAACCAACAAATGAGACTTAATTAGAATTAAGAGCTTCAGAAAGATAAGCATGAGCTTAATACATCTTAATACTAAAGGAGCTAAACAAAAACACAAGACAATATTATGGAATATAACACACTTCTTTAATAACGTTATGTGCCTAACCTTATTAAACAAGTGTGTTATATTCCATAATATTGTCTTGTGTTTTTGTTATATGTGCTCCTCCCTTCTTTATGTCGTTCAAATCTTATAAAAGAGCTCAAATTGAAATAAATTACTAAAATTGAGATCAAGTAAGGAAGTGTTTGTGTATGGACCTTCTGTACAAGATAGGGTTCTGATGGACGTTAATACAATAAAATAACCAACCTGTTGATGTGATCTAGATTTTAAATGTTTACACATCATCAGTATATTATTAGAAACAACATTACAACATCTACACCAGTGAGAACGATGGTCCACAAACTTATAATTTATAGAACTTGATGACGACTGAAATTAAGGAATAGAGTTGATATAAATAGACACAAAGTATCAAACTGAGATTAAGAAAAGAAATGAAATAAATGGAGTTTTACTTCCTACTTTTCTGCACCTCGTGGGCTAATGTAGATGGTTGACTGATAGTAAAGACAACACCATTATGGATCAACTTCCTCTCTAGTTCTCTTATTCAACTAAAATAAGTATTATGATAGACATGAAGAGATAACCCAGTTGCTTTAGATGTATTATTTTACCAATGAAAGCTACATCTTTAAAACCCCTTGCTCGATAAAAGAGGAACTGTTTACAACCCCTTAAAGACAATACTCACTTGTTTATTAGTACTATGGGCATCTCCTTTAGATTCCACCTTGATTTCTGGCTTCTGATATTTTTTCACATCCAATGGTTCTTCAGCAGCTCTCCTTAGAGCTCGAATCTGCTCTGTGATCTCTTCCTGAAGCTTACTGTTCGCCGTTAGCAGAGGATCCTTGTGTCCATCTCTCTGTCTCTGACGTTTTCTCATGATTTCATTCTGTTGTTTCTTTAGCTTCTCCATCTCCTTCTCCAGATTGTCCAGTTTTTTCTGCCTCTCGTCATGCTCCTGTTTCAGCTTGGCTTTCACCTCTGGCGGTACGTCAGTGGGTATGCTTTTAGATTTCGATGTCTCTTCAGTTTTAGATTTCGGAGCTACAGTAATTTTGCGAATATGTTGATCTGTTTTCGGCATAAGTACAATACGAGTTGTTTCTGGTGATGGCTGTTTGGGTGGCTGGTCTAAAATATTTTTTGAAGGCAACACCCTTCTTGAATCAGCATTGGTACCAATTTGAATCTTAAAGTCCTCAGGTAGTTTTTTATCCACCGAATCATTCCTGTTGGATCTTTCCTTGGGGGCATCTCTAGAATCTGTCCTCGGAGGCAGATTATCAGAACTAACTTTCCGATCTCTGGAACTTCCTCTTCGATCTCTGTCTCTTGACGAAGGGCGTCTATCTCTGTCCTTGGACGAGGGGCGTCTTTCACGATCTTTTGAAGACGGTCGTCTATCTCTCTCCCTTGAATTTCTTCTTGTACCAGTACGATCTTTAGATGAAGGTCTTCTATCACGATCCCTGGAAGATCTTCTCCGATCTCTATCTCTAGAAGATCTTCTCTCTTTCGAGTCCCTACGTCTAGGGCTCCTATCCCGAGAACCTCGTCTTTTAGGACTTGGTGATCTTTTTCTCTTGGGGCTTGGCGAGGTTTTTCTTTTGGGACTTCGTGAATCTCTTCTCTTTGGACTTCTGTCTCTTGACCGTCTTTTAGGGCTTTTGGAACGACCTCTTCCAGGACTTTTCAATCTAGGGCTTTTTTCTAACGAACGTCTTCGCCTTGGACTTCTGTCTGATGAACCCCTTCTGATGCTTCTGGACCTTGACCTTTCACTGGAACGAGATTCACGCCGTGACCTTTTATTCATGGATCGATCAAAGTCGTCATAATCGTCAAAATTGTCACTTTCTCGTCTGTCACTGACAGTTGGCATGGCAGGGTGTGGCATCACGTGGGTTGGAGGTGTCCCAAAAAAACCAGGGGGTGGGGGAAAACCTTGTGGATAACCAGGGGGGAAGCCAGGAGGGGGATAACTATGTTGATTTGGGTGGACAGGGATGCCAGCCAGAGGGAAAGCTTCTGTTACTGGGGGGTAAGCACCACCCTGGCCATAAGGGTTATATGGATCAACTAGGGGGGGCTTCGAGTCCGAGGAATCTCGTTTTGAGGAAAGAACACTTTCAATTTTCTGTCCAGTTTCTTTTTCTTCTGGCTTCTTCATTTCTTTGCTTTCACTTTTCTCTTTACGAGGCTGGGAGTCTTTTCTTTTGAATAAACCGGCTGTGAGGTCAGCCCCTGATAACCCTCCCCCTAGAAAAGAAGCTGACTGATTAATGCAGATATCTTTTTCTTTCACTTTGCCCTCTCGCTCTTCTTTCTCTCTTGCAAGCTCCTGCATTCTCTTGGACATACCAAAATCAAAACCGATTGACTGTAAAATATTTTGAATTGTGTTGGTTGTCTCGTCTTTCTTTGGTTCGTCCCGTACTGGAGTTAACTGCTGAACTCCAAACCGACTCGCTAAAAGAGACTCTGATAGCTGAGATGCCTGACTCACTGGAGGTAATAGATCTTGTCTTCCCATTGAGGCTTTCAGTTGATTCACCGTTGACAACAGTTCAGAAGTCTGGGAACTCGAAAGACTGGACAGTAGATCCATTTGTGGATTTCGAGATTGTTGTTGCGGCTGCTGAACACCTAAGCCAGATAAAAGATTTGATGGAAGCCTAAGGCTGGACAGTAGATCATTGGAGATGTTGGGTAATGCTGACATTACGTCTGGTTGTCTTGGTTGAGACACTGGGAATATCGACGACTGGCTTGGTGGAGCTTGGGTTTGTTTGAGAGATGCTAGAGCAGCTTGGATTGTTGACATTGATTCATCAGAGAGAGCTGTGATCCCACCAGGCTGCGTTGTCACTACACCAGACCCTCCACTAAAACCAGTACTCACTGGTACATTTTGCTGGGATCTTGCAATATCACTAGGATGCATCCATGATCCTAGCCCCATTTCTCCCTTATTACTTGCTTTCTGCATTGCAGCACTTATTTGCCGGCTCACGTCCTCACCATACAGAAACCTATCCTCGTCTTCCTGTTCTAAATAAGACGACATACCAGGCAGCCTGGTTTTATCTACACCTCTGTTTTGTGACTGAGCCATGGCAGCTGGTCTGTCTGGTAAACTTGATGGTTGTTCTTGTGGTGTTGGTTGACTACCAGGTTCATTGGCAGGTGCTTTCTTCTTTAAAATGGATTTCAAGGGTTTGGTAGCTGGCTGACCACTTGGTGTAGACACTGAGGCTGAACTTGGAAACAATGGTGCTTGATTTAATGGGGGTGTTGGCAATAAGCTACCTCCTCCCCCAGGATTGATTTGACCTCTAGGGGGTTGGGGCAACAGGCCTCCTCCCCCTCCAGGATTGATTTGACCTCTAGAGTCCTGCATATTAGAAAATTGTCTGTTATCTCCTCTTTGTAGGTCTCTTTGTCCAAAACCATAATCCATGGATCCAGGATGTCCTCTGGGAACATCTGCTGATCCATTTCCGTATCTCCCATACTGATCATCAGCCTTCAATAGAAAAACAAGCAGTTAAATCACATTCAAAGAAAAAAAAAGAAACCCCTTCTCAAAGGCCCACCAATACCACCCAAATGACAAATGTTGCCATGCATGTAGGTATGTATGAAGTCTAACAAACTATTTCTATTTGGTTATAATCCAAAAACTATATTCTTTCATATAAGAAATTTATTCTGTAAAACTGTCAAACTCTGATACAAAATTGTTACCACATCATTGAAAATATTCAGTGTATATTTTTAAGAGCAAAGAGTTTAATGTGTATTATCCCTCCAGATATCAGCCCCAATTTAATTGCTTCTTCCATAACAACTTTTTTGGTGGCAAAACCGTACTTATATGAAATCAGAATATTATTGTTGCTGCACATACAATTTATTCGCTTGAAAATATTATAAATGTGTGCCCCAAGCTTTCCAATCTGACTACGTGTATGATGGCTATGCAATGCTATGACATTCAGCTCAAATCGAGGCTATCCAACTATGTTTAAGTCTATGAATATTATACCCTCCTTTAGTCCAACCCCATGCTATAGAAATGTTGACATTTAGGCTCAGACCTAATTTAGGTTTTTAAAAGATTCCAGTAAGATGTCATGCAAGCCCTACTCTAGAATCATAAACTGGTCTTTTCTGTGAAGGTGATTGTTGTCGTGGTGGAGATCCTGGCCGTTTCCTATCGCCTCGAATCATTCTGTCGTGATCGTCTCCAGATATCAATCTCATTGTATTGCTGAAAGTTGGCTGATGATGGCGATGTTGATTATTTTGTGCAGACGGATTTCGATGATTTCCGGCTGAAAAATCCCGATCTCTTCCACCGAACGGAGGCGGGGGACCTCCCCTTCCTCGTCCACGTCCATAATTGTGGGAATACGCCATATTTAATCCTTATTTTGACATTTAAAATGCATAAACACAAGAGAAGAATTTTGTCTTAATTCTTCCATGTAAATCTACCGTGCGCACGCAATTTTTACGACATCTTTGTCTTGATTTAGGCAACAATTTTCATTCAGCATTTCAAATTGAAAAAGTTGACAGTTGAATTTTATGCCAGATTTTTTGTCAAAGAAATCATTCAAGTGAGTTACGATTTAATTTATTTGAATTTGACAAAATTTAAGTCGAAGTTCCAGAAATTGCGACATTTTCTGAAAGGTCTTTAAATAGTAGACTAGACTCGATCGTCACGACATTTGTAAATAATCAATGAAACGGACGCTGTGGTATAAAACTGGATAATGAAATCTATAAACACGCGTGTTAAGTCTTTAACATCCAGTCTTGTTATAAAACGTAAAGTCATTTCATTGTAAATTACGTCTGGATGATTTTGTTATGACTGGTTGTGGGAGTGGCGGCGGCAAGTTGAAAGAATTGTGAGTCAGTCAGATGGAGTAAGTTATTCAATGACTCTCTAGTCGACTAGTGTAGTAGTGTATCGTCTCTATGTTGTTAAATTAGTGTTTTGGATTATTTGGTGATCGGCTTCAGTGAATATGAAGTCGGAACTGTCGGCAAGAGGTGAGGCTTTTTTAATTTCTTATTTTTGTTTGATATTTACTTTTCCAGCTTCACATTGCACTAGGAAACTGAAAAGATGAAGAATAGAAACAAGATTTTATTTGTTGTCTGTAGTTTCCTGTCTTTGTTCAAGATAATATGTAGAACACTATTGTTTCTATTTGACAGATAACGGCCCACTTCAGATAATTTACACTACCGATAAGCCAGTCCTTTTAAGAATATATCTTTGTGTTTTTGGCATTCAAATCCAAATTGCACTCTTTTGATTCATTTTCTTGTTGCTGAGACTCAAATGAATATTTAAAAATATAAGCTTTATTATGACAGTGTCAATAGACTGAGTTAGCCCATTGTTGGCATTGTTATTGTTATAAACAGCAGGCCTACAGTTAAAAGGTTTTAGCTGTAAACTGCATATATCTTTGTCAATGCAATGAATTCACATCCCTGTTGACCCCCTGGAACTTGTCCAATTTATGCCAGACAGACCCAGCTTGGTCCCATCACAGTCCTTCTTCAATGCCTTCAATATTCAGTTCTACCATAATGACTAGCTATAGGCTTACTGACAATAGTGTCTGACCAATGTTTTATGTTGTCTGACTAGTTTAAGTATCTGAATTGCATTCTCATTAGATTAATGGAGTCAGATTGATTCGAAAGCTTTTACCTTAGTAAACAATAATTTAACAATTTGAAATAAACTTATAGATTTTCGCTGATCCAACAGCAAAGAGCTCTACTGACAGTGGCTCAACTACATGAGTGGGGGTCTGGCGATTTGATTCAACCGGTCCCTGTGGTGGTTTAGCCACAGCCACAACTGATAATATCAGAGCCTCAAGATTGCTCAAATTGTTCTGTCTAAATCCACAGAAATATTTGAATATTTTTTATATTTTTTCAGGATGTCGTCCGGAAGATGGTGTCAGGGATATGATTATTATTAGTGATATTGATGAAAATGGAATAAAAATAAATTTAAAAACCAGATATAACAAGGACCAGATTTATGTATCCTTTATGTAAATAGTTGACTAGAGTAATCAGTGTATGTTTGGTTCAGGAGAAATCCTGGTTAAACCCATGACAATCATCTGAATTGTCAATAATAGATCAGGATTTATCATTTGGATCTTGAAGTGAGTGATCATAAGTTTCAGATGAATTGGATAAAAAAATCCCAGTTACTATTGATCCCAACTGATTTAAAATGAATCTCTAACTCCAAAATACTAGTTTGCCAAAACATAAGTAGCAGCAAACAAACTATTCATATGAGGAAGTTGTATATTAATTATAAATGAGGAAATAATTGTTATAATGAAAAGTGGTTAGGATCTCATCTGACAGTTACGTTGATTTTTAAGGGTTTGTGATTAGATATTAATCTTGTATAATTATGACTATCAGTAGGGATTTGAAATCTGGTGTCTAGAAGAGTAAGCATGCCTAGTCTCAGAAAATCAGAGTGTTTTATAATTGATGATCTCTTAATATAAAAATTGATAAAAGGAGAGGCTAGGATATGGTGTGCTGTATCTAATAGAATTTACATACCATGACAATCCTTTATATAGCCTACTTATACAACCTAATTAAATACATATTATAATATACACTGGAATGTCATAACATATCCTGCATTGCTGTCACAAGTACATAGCTTAAATACTATATGTATGCATATATGATCGAAGTTTTCAAACAGGCTTTAAATTCAATGTTATTTTAAGACCAAAAAATCCAAATTTGATTTTGTCCTCAACACAAGACAATCAAGTTGATCAGGGTTGCTGTCTGATTCTTAACTTGAGATTTGATTGTGTTATTTTTTAATTCATTATAAAGTGAAAGTGGTATTGTGTCAAGTCTGCCTGGTCTGAAGATGAATCATCTGATTGATTTTAAACTATGACTAGATTATACTAGATTCTAGAATATCAGATTGATTAAATCATCACATTGTTGTACATTGTTATTGTTGTTCAATCTTTTTCTTTTTTGAAAGATATGTCATGTTAATGGGCATATTTTATCACAGGCTGGTCTGGAGTGAGAACATAACGCTATATAGCAGTCTGGTATAAAAGAGTCTATTGTTGGTGTTAAAGTTTAATCTAATTCTTCGTATCAGAGTCAGATATTTCTGGACTTTTAGTTTAAAGTTAAAATGTAAATAACAGTACTGGAAGTTGATTTATTTGTAGGTGGATTGAATAGTAATAATTTCAATTATTAAGTACTATTGAAAATACCTACAAATAAATCAACTGAAAATATCTAATACATAATATACTATGATCTTAAACTACTGAGAAAAATGGACTGTTGATGATTACGTATCCACTTTTTTATGTTCATTCATTTCATTTATTTTTAGACTCGATCATGTACCAGGGTACCATAAAGATAGGAACTCTTAGGGTAGAAATTACTTTCAATCTCTTGGCAATTATTCTATAAATAATTTAGGATTATGATATAAGATCTCAAAGATTCTGTCTACTAGCAAGTTTATGATTTTAAGATAAAACTATATAAATCAGTTTCTAAGATCAAGTGCATGTCTGTTTTGTTTTAACTAAGTTACAAAATGGCGTGGTTTTATCATTCAGGTATTGATTTGAAATTCGAACTGTTCCCACTAGAAATAAAATGTAACATAACTTGTATAGAATGGCTAGTAATTCTCAAGCATTGTTTTATTAGTTTATTACCAAATTATAACTGAGAGTAATGTTTGTTTATTAGCTGGACTTTTGTTGACTTTAGTTTTAAAGGTCTCTAGCCCTCTTATACACAGTTTTACATGGTTATTTTGTCAGTTTTAGGGTCATGTGTTCCATAATATTTAAAGACCTGTTATATTTTAATTTTGTTTGTTAGTTTGTTTACGCTGGTTTTGTTGCAGAAGGCTGTCAGAGAGTTATGTATGATGGTAGCTTGTTATCAAACTGATTTTGGCTGTTAATTTTGTCACAATGGAATCATCTCTACCTTGTTTATGTAGTTTATATCTGGATACAATTTTATAGATAACAATTGCTTTAATAAAATAACTTGCAACGTTTAAACAAAGATTCTTCCATCTTTATCAAGCAATGATTTTCATTGATCATTGATCATCATTGCTTGATAAAGACGAAAGCATCATCGTTGAACGTCACAAAATATTTATTAAAGTAATTGTTATCTATATAATTGTATCCTGTTATTTATTGCCCAGTTACTAAATACCATTTAAGGAAGTTTATGTAGTTTAATGTAATTAAGACAGGATAGGATCTCTATCAGCTTATAATATTGAATTGATTGCTCAAGTCAGGCAGTAGGAATCAGAGCCTAGTTCCACAAAAAATCTTAATATCAATTTTTGTCTTGTCTATTGTATTTCTTCATGTAAAATTCTATACTCATGACAAATGATTTTTTGTGAAATGCGGCCCAGATTACTAAAATTTAACACCACTTGAAATAAGGAAAGAGAAACTGGATGTTTCATCATATAAAGCATTATGATAAAAATATGAGTAATTTTTCATTCACTTTGTTATAGTGATCTGATATCAGTGAAAGATGGTGACTGTCTCATAAAAACACTGGCCAAGGTCACAAAGTAAAGATTTATGATTAAACAAGATGCAATGGAAAGGTTAAGATATAATGAGATATCTCAGTGAAAGAGGAAATATAAAAACTAAATGTATCATCAATATTTAGGTTACTACTTTACTACAGCTTTATAGAACAATAATCATTGGTAAAAATTTTATGCAACGTTTCGTGTTTATGTAGTGTCTGACAGTAACAATTCTAGATACTAGTTAGGACTGTATAGTCTTGTGTTAAATCTCTATATGATGACAGATGGTTTTATCTTACAAGGGCCATTATACATGTCTAGAGGAGGTTTTATAGGTTCCTGCATTCTTAATACATGCTTTGAATACAGGATTAATCTCTCAATAGTGAAACAGAGTTCATCACTTGTAAATATGTATGACACACCTGCCCTATCCTAACATATTTTAAAATCATTGCAAGTTTCTCTCTTTCATTATTTTTCATAATACAGCCAGGACTCTGATTGGCTATAATTGTTAACGTACAATTTGCTGCATTTTCAAAGTTACATGATACAAGAAAGGTGACTATTGCGGTCAAGGTATAACACTCAGTCAAAAGCTAGACATTGTGAAGATGTTTGATAAACAGCATTGTGAATCTAAAACTGGCTAAAGTTGCATTGACTGTATTTGAATGCAAATAAATTACTCATCCTTTGTTACCCTCGAGTGAATCCATCAAATATATCTAACAGCGAATAATGTGCATCCCATTCTGTTGAAAAGTGTTTATACAGCACATTCAGAATTTAATCCAAATTTTGTTTGACCTGTAAAGGGATAAGTTATGTATAAAAAATCCATGTGTTTAAAGCAATGATCATGATGATCCTTTACTTTTATACATTGTTTTTTATTCAATCATATGAATATTGAGAGTTTTATTAAAAGTCATCCAATGTGTCCCTTCATTCAAATCAAGATGATTCTCAGAGAATATTGAATTGGAAGGAAACAGGAGGACGTTTATGTGATTTGACTATAAGTTGGACCTCATGAATATTCTACTATTTGTGTTGTTTGCTTTTTGTAGTAAATACAACTTTCAAATCATTCATGAATTTAGTTTAGTTTCGCTTCTCAATCAGTGATTTATAACTTTTTTGTTGACTCAGTTATTAAATACCTACTTGCTGACCTTGAGGAAAGGCGTCAATTCTAGAGTAAGCCCAGTTGCTATCTGGTTCCTTTCTCCCTGTGGTTTCATGTATTGAGAATAGAACGTCTTGTTGATGGGAGCGGCCCTGAAAGTGAAGGCCAAGTTTATTAATGGACTATAATCAAATTGATCGTTTTAAATTATGGTATAAAAGTTTTCAAACTGTACCAGAAATATTTAAACAGCCAATAGATTAAAAAAACTAAATGAAAATTTGACAGGTGTATTTAAATCAGATAATAACCTCTAGGGTACATTCAACATTTGAATTTAAAATTCCTGTACAAACAAACACATTTTACTAGTTACAGATTAACCTGTTGAAATTGATAAATGTGAAAGATTAACTATCTGGTGTTATTATTATTATTGTTAACTACAGACCCCCTGCTGTTAAGAGGTTTTTATGGCCAATACTGACCACAGGTCAAATGATCAAGACTAAATACCAACCACCAGTACAGGTGTAGATAGATCATAAAATATCAGACCTGTCTATAAAACACTAACACTAGCTGGTGATACATGTTCACCATTTCTTCTTCAATATGGTTGATTTTAATCTGGTATATTTTTGTATTTTCTTCATCAACTTGGTCCATTTTAATCTGCAGTATTCTTGCATTTTCTACTTCAACTTGGTTGATTTTTCACTTTATATTTCACAAGTTGATAAAGATACAGGCCATGCTGGTGCATGTATTAAAAGGTAATTGGTGAAGTGCACTTACTCTTTTTGTGAAATTTAGGCAAGAATACAGTATTGAAACAGAAAGTGTGTTTAACTGTTTAGCTAGGAGATCTTGTCAAACATGGCTGGTAAATTCAGTCAAATCTATAGCACTGCTTCAATGATTATGATTTATAATGTTGAGTTTAGAACTCTAGTCAGACATGACTGGTAATCATACTAAAATCACAGAGCAAAGAGCTGTATCAACACTCTGAGCTGTAGTAAGGTATGACTGGTAAATACAATCTAAACAACATCCCTGTTTCAATATTTATGATTATTTAAAGTAGGGTTTATAATGTTGAAGACCGATTGTCAGACATGACTGGTAAATACAGTAAAATCAACAACCCTTCTTCAATACATACGGTTGTATTTTTGTAAGGTTTAAAATGTTTAAGAGGCAAGAACTCTTGTCAGACATGACTGGTAAATAGGCCCACAGCTAAATCAGCAGTCTACAGCTGTAGTAAGGTATGACTGGTAAATACAA